GGGGGGATGGTGCAATTTGGCTGAATGTGCAATTCTAAGGTATTCTATAAACATTATGATTTTTTACACAGTTTCGATTACACTGATGCGAGTAAAGTCGAACAAGTCCGCGAAGTCGATTTCAAAGTATCAGCGGTCTCTGAGACCGGCCATTATCTAATTTATCATACAAATTGTCATATTTTATTTACGCGATCGCTGAGATTCAGTGATTTGGTCGGGGGAACATGCCCCAGTATTATCGCTATAGCAGAGGTTTTAACAGCATCGCACCCGTAGAAAATCGAACACAAAAACATGGAGAGTTTGTGTACTTCGCATGACCTTAGGGCTTCGGAATTTGACCTATTTTGAGTTTTATAGTTTGATTAAATTTACCATTGCATTTCATTAGAATCAATGTAGACAGGTTAGTAGAAAATAACAAAATAATAATGTTTGGTAATTTTTTTTATTTCCTGTGCGGGGGCAGCCTAAAATTTCTTTTCTTTTACGGGAGCTATTTTAGGGCTTGGCAGCGCTACTACTTTCATAGCATGATTTTGTTAAAATTTCATAATTTGATGCACTGAGACTACATAATATTATTCATACAGCATTCAGCACTCAGCACCAGGTATTAACCCAACCAGCTGTGTGACTCAACGTCAATATACTAACCCTAGCAAAGCCGTTTCTTGGAGGCTACACCAGTTAATGAGACTACAGTGTTAAGAATTGTCACAAAATTACATCGATCACAGTTTTTTTTAATCTCACTTTCACTCGACTAAGAAACCAATCACATTCTATTCAATTTCATTTCACACAGACAGACCATGCACTACACAGTAACACATAGTCAGGTAACATGACAAAGACAGGAAATCAAAGATTATAAATCCATGGTATAATGATGGTATGGTTATTTTTCAAGTTTCTTTTTTTTAGCTTCATTTCCTTCATCTTTCAACTTCTTTTTACATCGACTGAGCAAGTTCAGAACTTCAGAGCGGTGTTTTAGTTACTTTGAGTATGTTAAAAAAACTTGTACTGGAATCCTCTAGGAATGCCGGAGCTTCTGGGCCAGGTTTTACTTTTCGTTTTTCTTCCAGCCCGCAGTCGCGGGTACCCCGCATGCATAGATCAATTGCTGCCGGCACATCCGCAAAGTTACAAAGTGCCTAGAATGCTATCATATACTTCTAGAATGATTGGCTCTAGATATCTAGACTGAATAAAAATAGTCCACTTCTACGTTAAGAAAGTGACGAATTTCAGTAACAGCTTTTGATTACGTCGTGTCAAGGTGTCACTGGTCGTGCTCTCTACTCGCCCACGATAACCGCTGCGATATAAAAACTTATTGTTATGTGGGCATAAATTTTCTGGGCTGCGCGATGTAGCAATTTCGATTTCTTAGACTGTCGCGAAGTTTTTTATACGTGTGGCGAATGCATACGTTGATCGTTTGAGTGGTGCGGCGATTATCTAAGTCGCCCCGCCGGACAGCTGACACGAGCAAGGCAGTCGACCCGGTCCAATTTTCTAGATCGGCCATTGGCGACTGGCGACCGCTAGTTTCTCAACGCTTGTCTTTGTATTTTATTTGTTTCTGCATTTATTTTTCCGTATTCATTTATTTGTTCTGTAACTTTTGTTATGTTAGGAAATTCATATATTTCTTTAATGTTTTGCATTAAAAATTGTCCTAATATATTTGTCCTGATATGTTCGGGGAACTCGACCAATAGAGAAGAGAAGCCGGTTGTTTAGTTTTCAGGCTTCCGAAAACCGGGTCCGTCGTTAGCCACTACCTAATTATAAGTAAACCCAAACGGCAAACCCAGGATAGGGTTACAAGCCGCGTCGTGCTATGGTTTCTAGTGGAGGAAATTCAGGAACCCATTGAGTGAAATCACTCAGGGCGGTTTGCCTGTGCGTTCAAGAGATCTAGAACTTCCAAAACTGGTTTATTCTCAACACGAACCTTTCTCACGCTATCTTGGTAGCTTACTATGTATCAAACAATACTCGTGTTTAAACTAATAAAACTACAGTTCCTTATACATGTCCTTGGTCGCGCCCCACACCTGGAATATGCTATATCAAGCTTGGAACCTTATTGATAAAGGACATAAGGCATCCTTGAAAAAGTTCAGAGACGAGCCGACTAAAAACTAAGTGGAAGGCATTGGGTAGCTTGTCATACCATGCCAAAGACTACAAAGGCTGAATGCTGACTAACTCTAGAAGACACGTAGATGAGAGAGCTGATTTAAATCGAGACCTAGCAAAGAAATTATAACAGGATTGGAGAATATATGATCCATAGGACATTTGTTTTCAGCCTGCAATCCTGTCCACCAACCAGAGGTCACAGCATGAAACTGTACAAAGAAAGCGGCAGTCGTCTTGAAGCTACGTAATCATATTTCTCTCAGAGAGTGATTGACAGC